GAAATTGTTCCTTTCACATCCAGTTGACAGTGGTGCAATACCATCAGCGGATGTGTGCATCGAGGATGATTTTGATAAAAGGTTTCAAGATGATCTTGATGAAGCAATGCGCCAAAGCCTTGGTACCCTTTTTATTATGACTGCATCCTTTCTCTATGAATATGCTCGTATCTTAGGCTCTTGAACATCCATGGACAATTATATTCAACACCTCTGTATTATCATAAATATCTCTCTCTGTGTTAAGGCTTGTACAGTCTACAAATATTCTGCTTTGCATGAATGTGCTTTCCTCATGTTATATAGATCTTTAAGTATATATGATGATGTGATGTTATGATGATTGTTCTCTTACTGTCTTCTTTCTCTGTTTCTACAAGAGGTGTCTGGTAATGATTTTAATTTTTTCTTATGGAATTTCAATGATTTCTCACTTAAGTCCTATCATTTAAGGATACGATGCTTATCCTGCTGGTACGATAAGCACTTCAAATGGGACAGAAGTGTATGGGACTGGCCTTAAAAATGCTGCTGGTGAATACAATTGTTTCTTGAATGTGATTATTCAGGTAAGCTTAGATTCATAATGTGCTATTCTCTAGGATTAGGCAATCGTTCTTTGTTTACCTAGTGTTCTTCTATTTGCAGTCATTATGGCATATAAGGCGGTTTCGAGACGAGTTCCTTAAAACATCATCACTGCACAAGCATGTTGAAGATCCTTGTGCTGTCTGCGCTTTATATGGTATCTTCATTGACCTGAGCAAAGCAGCCAAGGGACAAGGAGAAGCTGTTGCGCCTACTTCATTGAGGATCGCTTTGAGCAAATCCTACCCGAACAGCAAATTCTTTCAGGAGGTAAATTGATGTCCTCTCTTGATAATTTAAGGCTTTACGTATGTTGTTTCAGCATTTTAGCATCCAAATTCTTACTTTCTTATATCGATGTTCCTTGGCTGTAAACATTTATGATCATGGCAGGGACAGATGAATGATGCATCTGAGGTACTGGGTGTAATCTTTGAGTGTTTGCATAAGTCGTACACTTCTCGTACTGTCTACCATGGTAAATCTCATGAGAAGAATTCTATTGGATCATGGGATTGTGCAAATATTTCTTGCATAGCACATAGTCTTTTTGGGATGGACGTATATGAACGGATGAACTGTCACAATTGTAAGATGGAGTCTAGGCGGCTCAAGTATACTTCATTTTTCCACAATATCAATGCTAGTTCACTCCGAACTGCGAAGGTTAGTTTTCTTTGTTTGGTTGAATCTCATGATATGTTCCCTATTTTTATTTCTGTGTTATATGTGGTTTCTTATATAGTGCAATCATGATAGTTTCTGGTTCCGCTAACAATTCCTTCTTCAGATGATGTGTCCAGATTCTTCATTTGATGAACTTTTGAAGGTTGTCATAATGAATGATCAACTAGCTTGTGATCAAGACGTTGGCGGCTGTGGAAAACCGAATCATATACACCACATCCTTTCTACATTCCCACATGTCTTTACAGTCGGTAAGATTTTTTTGGCTCTTGGTTGGATGTTTCAGGCTGAAGGGCGGGCCTGGTGCAAGCGGTAGTCTTACCGCCTGTGACCGGAAGGTCCCGGGTTCGAGTTGCGGTCTCCTCGCATTGCACAGGCGAGGGTAAGGCTTGCCACTGACACCCTTCCCCAGACCCCGCACAGAGCGGGAGCTCTCTGCACTGGGTACGCTCTTTTTTGGATGTTTCAGGCTGCAATTATTTTGCACTGTAGAGTTTCATGTCCAGTCTAGCTGTTGTTTGATGAATATTTGATCTCACAGTATTCTCTTAGAATGCTTTATATGTTTTATTGAATTCTCTTAGTTGACTATCTTCAATCGAGCAATTGTGATCTAGCTTACTTTTTGGCATGTTACAGCCTTGTGTGGGGATGATCCTGCACTAACACTTCCATGTTCTATATATTTGGTGAGATAATTTGTTGGCATATCCCTCTACTTACCTATTGAATTTTCATTTTAGTTTTGGGATGGCAGAACAACAAAGAGAGTGTGGATGACATATCTGCAACTTTGGCTGGTATTTCAACTGAGATAGACATTAGCATATTCTACCGTGGTCTAGATCAAGGAAGCAAACACACCCTGGTGTCAGTGGTATGGCCATGGAGACCCTTTGTTTTGTTTTATCTCTTTCTTGAATGTGTGGATGGTTTTGTTGATTGTAGTTTTCTTAAACCTGTAAATTATCTTCTTCCGGTATGCGTATTTATAATATTTATGCAGCAGCAAAAACATGTACATCTAGCCTGTGCTTTTTTGCAGGCCCAGCCCGACTTTTGCTCAGGTCTAGGGAACTACTAAAATAACTCCAGTTTGAGAATAAGACGATGTCTCCTGCTTGGGATACTATTTGTTTCTGTTTCCAGGGAGCTCATTGTGTTGTCACTTGTTGGTATTACATGTGTTATCAGCTAATTTGAGAACTTGCTTCCAGTAATTACGTAAACTGGGAGCTGATAGGATATGAAGTAGGTTGAATATATTTAAGGAGAATAGCAAATTGAGTTCAGCTGCATATAACGTCAATGTGACTGTATTATTGCTGTTCACATAATTGTGGTAAAAAATTTCAATTCGAGCTTATAATTGCCACAATAACCTATCTTTCCATTTGTTGTCAATTTTTGTTTCATTTAGCTTCATTCTTATACCTACCAAATGATTTATTTTCTCCAAATTATGGATTCACAGTAAGGTGTGTTGCATTTTTAAGTAGACATCATGTCTTTACGTAGTCTTTTATCTAAATCTGGTGTTTGGGCATCTGTCTGTCAATGCAAGGATCATTAGATATATATTACTGCTTTTTACACCTGCAGGTTTGTTACTATGGCCAGCATTATCATTGTTTTGCCTTCAAGGATGGACGTTGGGTCATGTATGATGACCAGACAGTCAAGGTAACCCAATAACCATACTACTTTGAGCATCCTTTTTACTCGTCCTACTCTTGCTTAGTGTGGCCCAATTTTGGTTCCATGTTATTTGTGCAGGTTATAGGTAGTTGGGGTGATGTGCTCGTGATGTGTGAAAAGGGCCATTTGCAACCCCAAGTGCTTTTCTTTGAGGCTGCAAATTAATTATTCTTCAGAGTCGTAAAGTGCTGTGCAGTGGTTAACATGCCCTCAAATATAGGGTTTTTCCCTGTGGCCGTGAAGATTAGAAATAGAGTAGCAAATTGGTTTTGAGCGGGGGTACAGAGTAGCATTCAACAGTTGCGCTGGTCTGTGAGTTTTTGTCAGAGCCCTTCGTAATAAGCAGTCACCTGAGCATTCTAGAGCAAAAAGGGAGATATTTATGACTCTTTTTTTTTGCTTTAACCTTTGGTATAGTTGCTGAACTTCTGATCCTTCATCTGCCAATAAGATTTCACTGCCGATCTAGTGGGTGGGGCATTCGACATGAACTGCCATCCAGCAATTCTAGCCGAATCTGCCTAAAGCTCTTCATTATGCTCCAATTATGTATAGAATTTTGTGCTTACAATGGGGGAAGCTGGTATAGTTGAGTGTGCCTGTTTTGAGTTTAGAAGGTTTAGAATGGAAGGAAATGCGGTGTGAACTGTATTTATCTGTGGAGGGGTTGTTCGATAAGAGAGAGGCTATCTGGAATAGGGTACTGACTTTAAGAAGATGTGTCGATCAGAGAAATCTAGTACACGAGTCTGCTATATGTAAATGACTCGATGAGATGATGTGAGATGATTATAGCGATGAATACGAGAATCCTTATCACTACTGTTGGTAACTTTGACCTTTCTGTGGCAGCAGCATTGAATAATGGTACCGCTGACTCGCTGCGTTTGTGTTCTTTTTTGTTTTTTTATAACCTGTTTTTCTGGTTATGGCAACCATCAGTCTGTTCGCTTGCTTATAAACGATCGTAAATTTCCAGTCGGGAACAGTATTTTTCTCTCACACCAAACCAGTCAACAGTAAATAATCCACGATACGATACGGCTTCCCGAACAGGCTGCATAAGTCTGTGGTACATCGATTATTTTACTCATACTGGTACACGGTGTCGCACAGGCTGATGGTTTATCTATATGTTCTTGCTTTTGAGCTTGACCCCTTCCTGTGTACAAAAACCTGAACGTAGTCAAGAATACACAATCTGCTTTAGCGTTTTGTCAGCCTCACACATCATGATTTGGAAGTACTTCCTGTCTAAAACAAGCACTTTAAAGTTTGTGCTAGTATTATTTAACTATTTGTTATCGATAGTGGGTGCCCAAATGTTTCTCTACCCACCGATAGTGACTCAAGGTGAGGATGCCAAAGTTGGTTTAATATCCTGTTGTGCTGTGTAAATTTGATTTAAGTTCGTGGAGAGGTGTTACTAATATATTTCATAGTAGGTTTAATAATACTCATTTGATTTGATATTTTGATATCGTAAGTAGTGTTGTATCTTCCATAGACTTGGTCACTTATGATAGTTTGATTTATGATAAAATCAAGCATTTACATTTGTGAATGGACGGAGTACTAATACCGCACAAAAATACTAGAGCAACGGCAAAATACACTTTATATCCTGCCATGTTAATTAGAATAGAGATTATGGTGGGAAAAAACATCTAATAGTTTCTTCAATTAGTTCTCTAAATTCTGGTTTCTCTCTAGCTAAAGATAGAGAGCCTCTATTCCTATTTTTTCGCTAGCTAAAGATTGTTTGCTCTTCAAAGCACGCGTAATATATAGAGAAACAGTTGGAGGGAGAGAAGATTTAGAGAGTGGTTATATACAAATGATTTTCTAATAAGGATTTAAAGGAGTCTAAGAAAGATTGTTGGAGAATTCGTGCCACTGTGAAAAGGCCGTCAAGAACCGGCTTGACCGAGGCTCCTCTGCAGGACTCCGTGGCGCAGGAGACGACTGTCCCACTCTGGTTAGAGATAAGATGTCCCCTTCTCGCTGCAAGTGATTTGGCTCTTGCCATGGAGCTGCTGCCGCTCTCCCCTCCGCGCGCCCACGCCGGCTTCCTCACCTGCAGCTCCACTCCCGTCGTCCTCGGGCTCCGCTCCCACTCCGCCGCCGCCGCTCCAAGCCGGCGCGCGCGGCCGCTGCTCGCCCGCAGGAACCGGAACAGCCGGAGCGACGAGGAGACCGCGGCGGAGCCCAAGGTCATCACGCTCGGGCGGCCGGGGAAGAGCCGGCGACGCCGCAGCAGGAAGCAGCAGACGCCGCCGAAGGAAGAAGCAGACGACAATGAGGAGGAGGAGGAGGAGGACGAGGACGAGGACGAGGACGAGCGCGACGCAACGATCCCGGAGGTGGTGACGAACCGGATGATGCGGCGTGTGGGCGCGTCGGTGGGCCTGCCGCTGGCGCTGGGCGTGGGGTTCTTCCCGGTGTTCTACTACCTGAAGGCGGTGGCGAAGGTGGACGTGCCGACGTGGATCCCCTTCGGCGTGTCGTTCGTCTTCTTCGGCGCGGCGCTGGCCGGGGTGAGCTACGGCATCGTGTCCGCGAGCTGGGACCCCGCCCGGGAGGGCTCCCTGCTCGGCTGGAACGAGGCGCGCCGCAACTGGCCCGTCTTCTGGGACTCGCTCCGGGGACGCTCCTCCCCGCCTCGCCGGGGCTAGGAGCAGCACAAGCTACTTCCCAGTACAATTCTTGTGCCTTTTTCATGTCCATTATTATATTCTTGCAGTCGAAGATGCATGTGTAGAGATCGAGACTGTTTTCGCGTGCGTTTGTCTTTGTCTAGCTCGGAATCTTCGGTCCTGGCATTGGTGGTTTGATTACTACTCTGGCTCTCTTCATAGTTTGACGTCGGCAGCATGCTTTGTTCGACTGCCGATTCAACAGATTATTAGCTCCGACCGTCTGCATACCGTCGTTATATCTATTTTACTGCGTGACGCATATTTGCACAAGCCACTGGGACAAGCAAAAATATGATCTCAATCTCATCGCGGCCTAATTGGAACCTAAACTCAACCCGTTCAAGCGAAAGTATACAGATACAGGAGTCATCATGGATCATAAATCCAGTACAGTTATACAGTAGCAGTTAGAAGAAAGCAGGCCGAAAGATACGGAGGCTGCTGCTACGGCCCTGTACGCTTCACTTGTAATCCGTATTTTTCGGCTTGTTTTTTCAGCCGGAACAGTATTTTTCTCACAACAAATCAGCCGAAAAGGTGTTTCGGCTTGTTTTTTCAGCGAAGCGAACGGGGCCTATGTTTGTAAACGGGCTCCGAACGGCCTTGATGGGATCGGCGTTCCTAGACGTCCGGATTCAGGGCGCGTCCGGACGCATCTCGAGCCTGTCCGCCCCCGCACGGAACAGTAGACTCGATCCTGACCAAAACAACAGAGCAAACAACGGAGCACCTCACGGCAGGCCCGTCCCACGGAACAGTAGACTCGTTCCGTACCGCAGGCGCCGCATCCCGCCATCCCACCGCGCCGCCCCGTCCCCCCGCTATTCCGTCGCGCCGTCCTTCCCCCCGCCGCGCCCCGCTAGGTGCGTCACATCCTCACCACGCTCCCATCAGAAGTATTAATTGTTTACAACATCAAACAAAGCGCAATACGAGATGCAACATCAGAACAAAGTCTACTGCAACATTAGAACAAAGGTACTGCAACACGAGATGCAAGATCAGAAAAAAGAAACTAATGCAACAAAAAAATAATACTTGTTGCAACACCGTAACAAGGCTACTGTAACAAAAAAACAGAACAAAAAGCAAAGGCGAGAAATCAAACATCAGAAAAAAAAACTAATGCAACAATGAAAAATTACTTGTTGCACCAGGAAAACAAAGCTACTGCAACAACAAAGAAACAAAGCGCAATGTGAGATGCAACAATCAAGAAAAAAGACCAATACAACAAAAAAGAGTACTTGTTGCAACATCAAAACAACGCTACTGCAACAACAGAAACAAAGCGCAATGCGAGATGCAACATCAAGGAAAAAAACTAATGCAACAAAAAAGAATATTTGTTGTAACAGCAAAACAACGCTACTGCAACAGAGCTCGTCGGAACCCTAGCCACAACGTTGTCCCTCAAACCATATCCAAAGGAAGAGGAGGGGGAGGAGGAGGAAAGCTCAGATCCCGAGGAGGAGGAGGAGGAAAGCTTAGATCCAGAGGAAGGGGTGGAGGACGAGGGCTCAGATCCAGAGAAGGACCCACCTACCTCGCCAGAAGCTGCCACCGTCGCTCTCCTCTCCAGTGGCATGGAGGTCACGGAGGGAGGGCGGCTCGCCGGAAGCCGTCGTCGTCGCCCTCCTCTCCGGTGACATGGAGGTCGTGGAGGGAAGAAGGGAGGGGGGAGGGAGAGAGGGGTGGCTCGCCGGAAGCCATCGCCGTTGCCCTCCTCTCCGGTGGCATGGGGGTCGCGGAGAGAGGGAGGGCCGACGGCGCGCGACGCAGCAACGAGAGAGTGGAGGAGCGGGAGGAGGAGCGGGCGAGGAGACCTAGAGACTGGTGCGCGCGGGTCACGAGCGAGTGGATAAGGCGAGGAGGGCGCGTGGTCGGTCGAGCGGTGTGGGGTCCGTCTGGACGGGACGGATGCCCGCACAGTAGCGTTTCCGTGATGGGATATATAGGGTCTGTTTGCTGCGGGGGTGGGCTAGGCCTTATCCACTTAGTAAAGTAGGCAGTTTACCCGCCCTGTTACATTACCAGCAGTCCCAAAGTGTGTACACAACTAGTCAACTACACATATTGAGCTATCAGTTCTACGTCCAAACGGACGAGTAGAAGGGACAGAGCCTCAGCTCAGATGGTGAGCTCTCCCGGACCGGAAGCCACCGGTCCTGGGTTCGAGCCCTGCTCAGCTTAGTGAGGTCCTGGACACTCAAGTGGTGTTATAATGGGACTACGACATGCGCCTCGTCTACGAGGCTCGTGTGGCTTCGGTGATTTACAGAAGGACGTTTGAGGTGTATAGGTTGTAGCTTCTAGGGGTGTGCGTGTGTGGTGGTGTGAGTGTGTTGTGTTGAGTACAGATACTACAACTTGTACGCTAGGAGTCCAGGCTCAAAAAAAAAACGGACGAGTAGAAAGTTCACTGTGTGGCACAGTTATGGGTTTAAATCATCTATTTTAATAATGTGGGTGTTTATATTTTTTCAAATTTATTTTATAATTTAATAGCACTATAATTTCAATGATAATCGAAATATCTCTATAATAAAGTGTACGTGGTGATTTCATCGATCTAAGATCTGTCGGCCATCAGCCTGTTCGTTTGGCTGTGGCTTGTCGTAAACGATCGTAAATTTTCAGTCAGAACAGTATTTATCTCTCACACAAACCAGCCAGCAGTATTTCTTCACGAACCAGCAACGAAACGAACCAGCCAACCGAACAGGCTGTATATTTTTTGAGGTGCCATAGATGTGGAATCCCAATTCCAATCTCACAAGCATCATTGGTCGTGTTCTTCCTCGTGGCGATCGCTCGGTGCTTCAACTTCGGTTTTATGTGTTCGGGTCCTTCTGGTGGGGACGACAAGGATTCCGATTGCATCTTTCTTTGTGGTTGAATTTCACTTTCCGGCTAGAACTTGTTAGCCATTGTAGTGGCAAGAATTTTTTTTGCGCTCACCCTCGAGCTCTTACGTCAGTTTTGGAACTTTGTTTGATTTTCCATTGCCACTCTAATCTTGATATTGTAATAACTATTTGGATCGTGTATTGTAATGAAACATTTTACTTGCCTTAATTACGATATACTCCCTCCATACTGGTAATTCAAGTCATTTTAGATAAGGCTTGTATCAAACATTAGGAATATAAATAATTAATAACTTTTAAGTTGTTGATTTAAAAATATAAAAACCATATGAATAGATTTGTCTTGAAAAGTACTTTCATAAAACTATATATATCATTTTTCAATAAATATTTTTATAAAAATAAAAAGTTAAAGTTATACTTTGGAGACCGTTGATGTCCAAAATGACTTGAATCAATATGGAGGGAGTAAGTTTTATTACTCATTTATGGGTCATGAATCAAACGTGGAATTTCGGGTTCTTCAAGTTGCCGGACTCGACAGATGACAAGGTTGAAATTAATTCTTGCATGCTTAGTGTCTAATATTGGACTATTGTGCACATAATTAGTTTAAACTGGGAGGTTCTGCCAAACAAACACCTTGGGTTATGATGCATAGGGTCCAGTGCAAACTAAAACTAGCACAAGTAACAAACGCACACTATAACTCCCACTCATAATCCTTAAAAAGTAGATATATAGCATAACCCTTAAAATTTCAATAATCTTAAAATCTACTCCCTTAATTCAAATTATAAGACGTTTTAGGTTTTCTAGATACATTGCTTTTATTATGTCTCTAGTCATAGTGTATATCTAAGTGCATAGTAAAAGTTAGGTATCTAAAAAAGCTAAAATGTCTTAAAATTTGAAATGGAGGTAGTAAATAACAACTATGATTTCAAACATTACATATAGCATCCACTCATAATCCCTGAAAAGTATAAATATTACCTGAATCCACATCCAAAAAGAAAGGGATCATTTTGATACATAAGTTGTTATGCAACCACTTGGTCGGTGTAACTATATATACGTGGTTATGCATCCAATTACTACACTTCGACGCTAATGAGGGAACTATTTATATTGTTCATCGATTTTACTGTTAAACCTGATCAAACATTGAGTCTTAAAAAATATGGAATCAAAATTTTTGGCTCGCGCTAATCCAATGGAGCCATCGGAACGAGTCAGGCTATTTCTATAAAAAAAAAGAATTTTCTATATAGGGTTAAGTTATGGGTCAAAATGATTATGACCCAAACTCACTCGATGCATTTATCCTGGTCGGTTCAGGCCAGGTATTTTTTGAGCGGCAGGTATTTTTTGAGCGACCATATCATCCTTCGCATTCGGAGAAATATATTTTATTTAGTTTACAACGATTTAGCCAACTAAACAAATTAGTACATATACGTACTCTCCTCGCCCAAAAATAATATATTACCAATTTTATAAATTTAAAAAGACTACTCACATTTATGATATCGAATAAATATTATACATTATGTGTGAGATATATTTTTATAATAAATTTATTTAAAGACATAAATGTTGATATTATTCTTTATAAATATAGTGAAACTTGAAAAAAAAAAGCGCTAATGATCTCGTGAGGACATTCGTCCATCCGAAGTATCCGTTTCTGGGCCTGCGCAGCGACCGGGCCCAAAAGGCAACCGGTTTGCGCCATCTACGCTCTCTCATCCGTCTCTACACTACGACTGCTGACAGAAATCCCCAACTCCCCACTCGCTTCGCTCGTCACAGCTCACCGTCATCCGCCCGCCCCAAGCCGCCTCGCCGCCGCACGGCGCCCCCATCCCGCGTCGCGCCGCGCCCACTGCGCATCGCTGCGCCCAATCCCCCGCCTTGTCGTGCTCTGTCCCCGTCCTTGCGCGTCGTGCCCCGTCCCCCACCGCATCGTCGAGGTGCTGCCGACGCCTCCATTCCCCTGGCTGATGGAGCAGCTTCGTGCGACGCTGCCCTACTGGCGAGTTGCTCCCGCGCTGCCGCACCGACGAGCTCCATGCATCGCCACCGACCTCCGCACTGGCATCG